TCAAGAAAAATGCTTTGACGGATGAAGAAGCCTTCAGGCCTACAAAAATGATACCGTCCGATTCAGCTGGAACAAAAATGCTTCAAACAAGTAAGAGTTTCTCTGTATTATGACCTCGAACCGACATATATACATCTTTCATTTGAATCAGTATTAAAAGCTCTATTGGCTCCTACATTTGGGTTTTGATAGGCGAGTCTCCCCTGAACCGTTTCTCCATATTTTTGGCCTATGTGCGCTTTTATTCGAAACCTAAATGTTTCGGTACCGAGTATCGAGAGCATTGGATACTTTTCAAATCAGTACCGATATCGATCAATACTTAAAATTATTGAATCAGCACATCACTACTGCTGTAATCTCGACTGTGACGTCAGCAAAACAGCTGATTCTGTCAAATTCACTGAGAGCCGATTAGCGGTGTTGCCATCGGCGCCACCTTCTGAATTCTCTCGACCCTGGGTAAAGTATTGCAATGAATTTCATCACAGTTTGTTAAATTTTGAAGTGGTTACGACATTAAAACGTTCTAAATTAAGTTGGGGTAGAGAAAAAACTTTAAAATTAATTGGTTAAAACATAGTTTTGGCTAGTACTGCTCGGAGAAATTCCTTTTAATGTTTAATATCAAGCATTGTTTGATGTGAGTTCAAAAGAAGACATGGTACCGAAGGGAGTGGTTGCCAACCACTATGAAAAATTTGTACACATAAATATACATATTAATATTTAGGTACATTTATCTACTTTTAGGTAAAATTTTTTTCGGCAAATAAGTACAATCTGAAAATTTAATTTTCATCCCTAGTGCGAAAAAGTATTTTATGACGTCAGCAAGTAGGTGGACGCTGTCAAAGCGAAGAAGGGTTAGCGGTCCGTGGATGGCGCCAGCTTTATTTTCTACATCGTCACCATGATTCAATAATACAAGGTTGGATAACCTGGGAGTTGTCTCGCTCCCGCATTCTGCCTTAGCCTGTGTTGCCTTCTTTTTTGATTTATAAAAACTACTACTAAAATACAAGGAGAAATATTGTCTTCGTATAAAAAGTTCAACAGGCAACACTGCCGATATTTTTTCATCGAATGTTTCGAGGAAATTCATTTTCTTATTGAGCAAATTCAAGTAAGTATGGCAAAAAAATCAAAAATAATGGAAATATTTTGAATTACAACAATAATTTACATATTTATTTTGCAAAAAGTAGCGTTTTACAACAAGTGCAGCCGTTGCAAGTAAGTTTTGCATGCTAGTATCCCTGTGTCCATCCACGTATGGTAGTACAAATATTAATAAATATATTCTGTTGAGAAGGTCAGGATCATTTGGGTGTCCGTCCACGTTTGCTGGTGCATGTATTTTTACCACTGCAGCCTTTGGGTTGGTCAAGTGCAGCCTTTGCATATTTACAAGTAAGTATACCACTCCATAAAAGCGAAAGTGGAAATATTAATAAAGGTATTTTCTTGTGCTGATTGTGACTGATTGCAGAAAAAAGTACACAACATTACAAAAAATTAACATTTTTAAAAAACGAAATGTAATGTATTGAAGATATATTTTTAAAGTTTAACCGATATAATGATTAACAAGACTGATTGGAGAAAAAAGTAAAAAACATTAAAGAAAAATTAGAATTTTAAATAACCAAATGTAATTAAATTGCGATATTGAAGATCTAACTTTTAAATGTAACCAATATAATGATTAGCAAGACTGATTGCAGAAAAAAGTAAAAAAAAAATTACTAAAAAATTTAAATAAAAAAAAAACCAAATGTAATTCAATTTAAGATATTGAACATGCAATCTTTAAATGCAACAAATATAATACTTTTTTAAAAGATTAATTTATATGCATTAAATCAATTGCATCTTTACCATTTGTATAATTCTTCATATAGTCCCTTTGAATAAAGGATTTGTTTGAATTCCATTAATTTTGTTAAATATATACTGGAATATCAATGAAACCATGGTTTATTTTGAATATTTGGGAATATTTCTTCAAAGACTTCAAAGATTTTTCTTTGGCAAGAATTTTATGTGAATATCCATTTATTTAATTTTTAATATTTATGTGGCCATAAAAAATTAATTCATTGTCTATTGTGTAGATCAGTGGAATCTTCTTTATATATTTAATTCAATTTGTATACAAAAACGCATTACAGCACTACCAGACTACTTACTTTTCCTACTACCTTTACACAAAAGGGGATAAAATTGTGACCCGCTTCTCTTTCCTTCTTAAACGCATACTTACAAGGCAGTCGATTGACACAAATGTCAATATTTATCCAACCTTGTATTATTGAATCATGATCGTCACTCTGCATATACATATGTATGCACAAACATACATCAAGCGTTGACAACAAATCGAGATAGAAAACAAACTGTAAAGACAATGCATCTGAGGCCTGGAAAAGTTGATTTGGTGTCTACTTTGAGGCAAGCAATTTTTGAATCACCATTCGCACGAGCGATTTTGGTTGAGCAATGTTGAATCGCCTAGAAAATCGCCCCACGTAAATGCTGCTTAAGCTAGAGGTAACAAAGAGAAAAGTTAAGATTTCGCTATTTTGACTTTAGTTAGAGTGAATATCTCCTAGGGCTGGTTTCTCCAACTCAACTTAACTTAGTTTAGCCAATTTTCTAGACTTAGCCTAGAATAAGCTGCGTAAAAAGTAGGCTAACTTTTGACTTAAGTCCAAAAAATGGCTAAACTAAGTTAAGTTAAGTTGGAGAAACCAGCCCCTAGAGTTGCTCTACCGCGTAAACTTAAATAATTGAGAGAGCACTTTTTATTTCAGTAAAACTCAGCGAGATACATGTTGCACGTAATATTTTTTGCCGACGTCACTTAACACATACAGTAGAATATTGAAATCAACATACAAACGCCCCAGAAAATCTGACTAGATCAGAGCTAGCGTAGAACTAGACCTTTTGCTCAATACCCAAGCAATGCTTTCAACTGTCCAGTTTTACACGGCGATGTCGTTGGCGGTGGCAATTGTCTACCAGTGCATTACTTTGCAACTAGTTTTTAACCGGTTCCGTTTCGGACAGTTTTTTTTTTTAAAGAAAACGATTTTAAGATTCGATTTTTGGATATTTTTTTTCGTTTTTTTCTTTTCTTTAACATATTTCATTTTTGTTACATATTTTATTAAATAAAACAATTATTATAAGCTCAACGCAACAATTTATTAAATTTGTGCCTCCATCGCGATTTGAACTCGCGACTAACGATGCTTGAGTCGGAGGTCTTCTCGCTGAGCTACTTTCGTATTGTACGAGCAGTGAGCATTTGCACATTTACACCGCAAGTTTCAACTGTCCCGCTCTGCATCCGTTTTGCATTAGTTCAGAGATAGTTTCTGATATATGTAGTTCGGAACTAGCGCTTTGTCAGAATGTCTCTAAATTTTGTTGCAGGGAATGTATATTTGTACATATAAGTACCCAAGAGAACTTGTCGTACGACAGCTTAGAAGTCAAATGGGAGATTGCAATAATTGAGATTTGTCCGTTATTAATCGCTTAGGAACAAAACGCGATGTATGTTATAGGCACCCCGTTTAAAATAAATTTTGTGTTTTTGGAAAAACATATCACAAAGAAAACTACAGAGAACTTTTGTTTTAGAAATAAAATAAGGAGAACGCAATAATTTAATTTGTATAGCACATAGAATTAAATTAAGCTCCGTCAGTATTTATTACAACTTTTCTTTAGACTTATTACGCCAATTAGTGAGGTTAGGTTTTAACGTTTCATATTTTGCCCGTCTAGGGCAAGAAGATGGCAGATGGGCAAAGTCACCTTCACATTGATCGTCGTTAAAACAGGAAAGCATTATACACTTTCCCCTTGGCACCCAGGAAATCATATACGAGTACATACATTCACATGGTGAAATTATACCGGAGCGAGAACAAAGATTTGAAAAACTGCTTGTAAAAATTTTCGCTTAAATAGCCGAATGTCTAGAAAATAAAGGAAATAAAGCGAAAAAGCTTTATTACTTCGCCTGTTTTAAATTTCACCATTTCATAAACGTCTGTTAAGTTCTTGTAATATTGTACACAAGCATATGATTCAATGGTGAAATAAATGGATTGCTTAAATATCAGTTAAATGTTCGCTATGGACCAATGTGGGAGTAGTCTTCTATTTATTACTTCATGAGAAGGGATTCGCAAGCATAGAAAAGCTCTTTTATTAAGTAATCGCACAGAAGGCTTGCGGAATACCTCTTATGGTAGCACTACCCTTATTGCACTCCCCTGTTGTCTTTTTGGGAGGTGTCTGGGAGGTTGTTATGGGAGTGATCCCGCATCGCTTCCTTTCCAAGTTTTTGGGACGATATTTCTGCGTGTACTGCCTGATCGCCCGTTTAGGAGGTAAACGGGAATACTGGCACTCCTAGCACACATACAATGTTAAAGCGAGTATACAAAATTGCACTGGGTACCTTCCTGCCAGAGTGTTATATTTTTTTTTTTTTGAGTTAGGTATGCAGAAATGACGCTTCGTAAAAATTGTATGGCTGTATCAATTAACGAAAGGTAATTTGAAGAAAATGGATCTTCACTTTTGCTATGAGAGCGAATGTAAACCGTAAACTTTAAAGCCGTTTTTCTCGGGTGTTTTTTTTTTTTTTTTTGATTAACACACTATTTCAGAAAATGAGCGATATGTGCGCACGTACTATGTATGTAAGTATGTAAGTAAGTATGTACTATTTTTATATATACATACATATATATACATATATATGTACATACATATGCAATTGCACATAACGAATTTTTTCATTTTATTTTTTCCCTTCCCTTACACCAACGCTTATTTCCACTTCACTTTTACACTCTTTTATTTATTAACACATATGTACATACTTATTTAATAATTTTTCCGCTTGCTTTGCTCTAGATACTTTTCGAAACATTAATAATTTTTCTACACAGCCTTCTTAATAACTTTCTTACCTTATTTAAAAAAGCCATATTTTATTACGCACAATTTGAAAATTATTGAAAAAATTATAATAGGTATTTGGTAACTAAATGCTGAGGTGTGTAGTACAAAGTGAAATGTTTTGTGAGTGGGCTCGTTCCTGACTCTGCTACGTCGCTAATACGAATAAAAATAAGTTTGCTCAGTACTCTCACTTTATTATTGAAAGTCGAATGCATCTGAATTGGACTTTGGAACTTTGCGCTCTGTGTGGTTGCGCTTCAAACGAGTTGTTATCAACAAATTTATCCCAGTAGGAAAATGGGAATGCATAACCTTTTTCAACCAAGAAAAGACTAACAACTACGGTTGAACGAAAAGATGCATCGCAATGTAAGCGAACGGACGATGTGTAGTTTTGAAGCTACAAACAAAACAAAAAGTTTGAGAACTAACTCTAGTATGTCTTTCTCTCACGTTATCTCAACAACTGCTGTAGCCGAATGGATTCGAAACCTGTGGCACGGACTTTATTTTTTATTCTTATTATTATTTTTTTTTTTAATTCTATTTATAGTTTCGTAAAGCGATATGCGACACATTACCTCTGTATGACATCGCTGTGGAGAAATTCTTGCATCTTTTCGTGCGTAGGTTATAGGGACTATCTATTACTTTCTGCATTCCCAGACATTACCTTTTCGCACTGGGATGTGCATACCTATATTTATACATATATATTTATATATGTATGCATATACATATGTATGGACATATGTACAAACACATATACATACACATACATATTTGTTTGCTGTTTTCTCATCATAATAACAATTTTTCGTCTCTGCTATGCTCATGCTTTCTTCAATTAGACTGCTTTTACACAGTTCAAGTATTGAATTCAATTCTTCTCGCGTGTGGAAGAGAGGGGGTGCGTCTGTACCGTCAAGTCGTTTCAACAATCTTGCTTTGCTTTTGGCATTTTCGTTGCTTCCCATTTAAAGAACCAAAAACTTGAATTCAACAGAATTGAAACGTGTAAAAGCAAGTAGAAAACGCAAAAGAGAATGAGCAAGAATTGCTTTCAAGTACTTGAAACATGTAAATCGGGTGTAAGGTTGATAGAGAACGTATGTATGTTTGTGTTACGTTCAGTTCTACAGTCGTGGCACAAAGATGGGAACGCATGATAAAAAATGGTACTTTTCGCTAGTGCACGAATACCGTATCTTCCAACACTTCGTTTTATACCGCAATTAAGGCATATATTAGGGTGTTATTTTATTTTATGAAATAGAGATGCCGCTTTTATATGGATTAAATCGAATATCGATTAAATCGATAATCGAGCCCTTTCGAGTAGATTTTTCGTTGATTTTTAGTTTCGATTCGATCCGTGAATCGATAAAAAAAATTCGATCATCGATATGCGATTTTTCCTCAGTTGATGCCTATTGAACTACGGTTTACACAGAAAATTTGAATTTGAGGCTGGCTGACTTTTTTAAAAATTGATCGGAATCGCTTTAAACTCGTTACCCGGGGTTTTTGGTGTCGTTGATTCCGAATCCGATGTTCGTTTTTAAAAATTCAATATGGCGGAAAAAATTTAAAATTTGTTCTGATTCATGTGAAACTCAAAAATGTCGTTGACACCGAAAACGAGGTCAGTGATTACGAATCCGATGTTCGAAAACCCCCAAGTAATGAGTTTCAAGCGAACTTGATTAATTTCAGAATAGTTTGTCAGATTTGATTTTTTTGTACTTTTTTGTGTGAAAGTACCTAACTTTGAAATAACGTGAAATTGTGAAAAAACTAATGCAGCTAGAAAGCTGCTCCTTATTGCATTGGAAAGAGTGGCCCGTTTACTATAAGAGTCGATGAAAAAGTGAAAACCGATTTTTTCTGACCGTAGGTCCCTTTTAATTTTACGTGTCACATATATAAAATTATGGCTAGTACTACAACAAAAATTCCAAAAATTTTTATTCCAAACTTTATGCAAATTTACATACTTGATTACACTTTTTGGTTAATATTTTAGCAGTATGCAGTATGTATACAGTATGTATGCAGTTTTGTAGCAAATTTTTTCTATAAAGGGTAATTAGGAAGTGATATATAGAAAAAAAAAAAAACAAAAAACCGTCAGTATTGCAAGAAAATCGATGTTCGTAAGCTCCATTGTATAATACAGTTCTTAAAATAGTGGATAATTTTAAAGTAAAAAATTAAAAATAAACAAAAATAAAAAATTAAATAAAAATGAACAAAATTTCGAAAAAACTTAACCAACTTTCTTAACATACATACATATATTTTGTCAGCCTTCATTTAGTATTTCTATTTCGTTCCCATGAACGCTTCAAAAACCAAAACCAAAATGAGAACAAAACTATCGAGAACGTTCTCAATGGGAATTATATAGGAACTAAACCCTGTACAACGTTCCCAAAGAGAACAAAATCCGAACAATACTTTCGGGAACATTTCTAAGAGAAGAAAATGGGAATGAAAGTGTCCGTTTGGCAAAGAACAAAACGGGAACAAATCTTATCTGTAATATTCGCGAAGAATGGAATCGAGAACAAAATTTTTCTCATAGCTTTCGATTAATTTAAAATGTTTGAATATAAGAATTAATTAAAAAAGAACTGAAAGATAATTACGCAAATTAATTGAACGAAAGATTTAAGACACGAACTTTTCTTACATAGAAAATGAAAAATTGTTCCATATAAGGGCAGTTCACCCTAATGATGAACGATCAGGAAGTTGAAATGATCCAGCTTTCCTCTGGCTTTGAATAAACAATTGCGGCTCTCACTGAAACGATTGTCCTTCTCCCATTCTTTACGTTAAGCTGTAAAAACTTTTTTTCTCGTTTTGTTCTCTAGCAGAACGTTCCTCAGACTTTTGTTCTTATTTGAACCTCCTTGAAAACTTTTTCGATACTTTCGTTATCATTTTTCTCTCATTGGCAACGTTCTCGAAAGTTTCGTTCTCATTCTGTTCTTCTCGAAAACATTTCGGAGAGCCTTGTTCCATTTTTGTTCTTTACGGAAGTGTTCCCCAACCTTTTGTTCTCATTTTGCTCCCGTTCAAACTGCTCTCAATGCTTTTGTTTCAGTTTCGATCGTTTTTGCGAACGTTCTTGACATTATATTTCGATCTTGTGCAGAGCTAAACCAAAACTGGAACGCGTTCTCGGTCCCTAGTATTATTTTCACCTTTTCCTTTGCTTCATATTTTTGCTTTTGAACACAAAGAGAAATACGAAAGCAAATATGAATACGAAGACAAATACCAATACGCTGTCAATAAGAAATACGAATACGAAACCAAAAACAAACAAGGATACAAAGACGAGTAGGAAGACGATCACGAACACGAATGCGAAGACGAATACGACGACCAACACGGATACGAACACAAATACGAATAAAAAGAAGGCAACAAAGTCTAATACGAATACGAACATGAATATGCAGATGAATACGAATATGAAGAGGAATACGAAGACCAGATTAAAACGAATACATAGACTAACCGAAGACGAATAGGAATACGAGTTCGTAGACACATTTGAAATATAATGTGACGACGAAGATGGATTCGAAGACGAACACAAAGACAAATACGAAGACGTGTTTCAAGATGAATTGCAAGACGATCACAACGACAGCACCGAAACCAATACGAAGAGAAATGGAAGGCTGATACGAAGGCGAATAAGCATACTTTCTGAAGATGATTACAAAAGCAGCGACTGAAACAAATACGAAGGTGAATTCGAAGACGAATACGAAGTGGAATTTGAAGTGTAATACGGATACATTCTAAAGACGTATACGAAGACAGCGACTAAAATAAACACGAACCACGAAAGCCACCACCTGCTATTCACGAGACAGAGGGCGCTCTGCAAAAGTCTAACGTACTGACTTCGCGCATAAAAAATCTAGCAACCCTACTTAGGTTCTACAGTACACCCAGGAAAGTGTGCTTTTGAGAGCGTCTAGCAAGACAAGATCTATTCTACGTCCGGCTTTTGGATATAATTTGAAGCAACTGGAGTTTTAAATAGGATCTTCCGTAATCGGTCGCCCTTGGAGGTTTCCTCAATGTTGCCGCAGAAGTTCTTCCAATATTCCCTTTGGGCTATTCGGACGGAACTCTTGAAAGTTTTTAAGACATCCTTGTAGGGTTGCCAAGATCCAGATATTTTTTCTAGATTAAAGAGCTTTCGGATTTACCTTTGGACGTGTTGTTGGGCAAGAAAATTTGAAACCGCAGGGCTTTAGTGACAAAGACAGCAGCTACATCAGTTTTTGACGTTGACATCAGCAGTCGAATTCCTCCGGTTCTGAAACCAGAAGCTGGTCTTTTGATAGTGTAACCCAGCGGATCTAGACCGAACCTACGTAAGCCGAGACTGAGCACATTTCGTTCTAAAACTCTGTCGCGGTGTCGGACACATCTGCCGGGTACATTTCCTCCGGATTCACTGGTCCACACGGGGCGTTGCCTGGATCCCGGATACTTAACTTCGGTAGAAATAGGCATTGTGACTCTTTGTGATGGGAATTAAACCACCCGAACTTATTTAGTAAAGAGCGCAACATTAGTCGAAAGTAGACATCCAAAACTAAGACAAGTACCTGGCGAAACAAGTATATATGCCCTAGGGTTTCTTCACGAACTGAAGCGAATGTGCATTTTCAAGTGGGAGACCAGTCGAAAGAATCCATTATCGATAGTCGTTACTCAATAAAAAAGGTGTTAAAAAAAGGTTTCGGTAAAACGTAATATTATTATTTCTTGTTGAAAGAAATCCTTTTTTGTTGAAATAGAAGTCCAGGGATACTAATTCAAGATTCATGCAGTTTAAAAGCCTGGAAATAGGAATTAAATAGTTGACAAATACTCTTGTACCAGGAACCAAAAATTTCGAGAAGAAAGAATACAGGGGTCAAATCAAAGAAATCTGTCAGAAATTTTCAGAGGGATCGCTAAGCGTAATGGTAATAGTAGAGCATGCTATGTATAGAAGGAAAAATAGTATTTTTAAAATACTGCACACCCAGACCTGATGATTTGATTAGATTAGATTTAGAGGAGGCAACAGGTCGACAAGTTACCTCGACCGAATTGTAACAACCCTCTATTCGACTAGAAGACCTATTCACGTATTGCTAAGAAACCTCGCGAGGTCCTTTGGCTGAATGCCTCTTAGGTACGGCCATCCTAGGAAGTGAAGTCTGGACATAGTGAGGGATTCACAGTGGCACATAATGGGCCCTGCTGTTTCCTGTTCTCCGCTGCACAACCTACACTGATCACAGTTGACAACTCTAATGTTTGACAAGTGATTAATGACCATACAGTGGCCAGTAAGAAAACCTGTAACAATTATTACTCATGCGTACTGAGGTGAAGGAGTTCTTGGGTTCTCCTTGTTGATATATCCAGAATGAAGGACTTAGCCTGTCTGTTACCTTCCGTATTTGTCCAGTAATGTAGTGCTTCGTTCGGGGCTCCATGGCCTGGTACATATAGATAGGGATTCATAACTTTACACAGCCGCTTTTCTGGCGAGAATATATAATACACTGGTACCCTATGAAATATGCCCAGCAATAGGTATTAAGCGTTGAAGGCCTATTAGTTCCCGGCAGTTCCAGATAGAGGCCCTGGCCTTTTGAATAATTTTGTCTAGGTGCGGGTTCCGTGAGAGCGTGTCATCACGCTTTTATTAATTTGCCCATTTCCTTTTTCTGGAGAAAATGACTATGCTATTTTTCTTGGAGTTTATATTTAACCCATTATTTCTGCATTCTGTAGAAGGTTGGAGATAGTGTCTTCGAATCTACCTTTGATAAGGATGATGATATCGTCCACATAGCCCTCAACGTCGATGCCATTTTCACAAGGAAGGTAGAGGACCATAACAGAGGCGAGATCACTTCGCTCTGCGGGCAATATTTTTTAGCTGAGAATCTGACTCTTCCTAGTCCTAGAGTGATGGAACGGTTCTGGATTCAAGGACGTTTGCTATACAGCGGCATGTGAATTCTTGCACACCTTTTTTCCGAACGAAATTGTCTATTAGCGAGTGTTAGGTTTTATTGAAAGCGCCCTCCACGCCTAAGAAACATTCCACCGCCACCTCTTCACATCTTTGTTCATCAAATACTTTTAAATTTTCTTTGTGAGACCCTGAAGAGCGTGGATAGTAGATTTTCCACATTGATATCTATGTAAAGTGTTTCCGGTAAGGAAAATATCCCTACTATGCCTGCCTACGATTCTATCCATGGTTTTTAGTAGAAAGGACGTAAGAACTATTATGGCATGACTTTGGTTGGTCTGCTGGTTTTCCTCCTACCTTTGGGATGTAGCGTACCGTTACTTCCTGCCATTGTAGTGGTAGGGATCCCCCCACAAAGCATGCTATGAAAAGCGGTATTTGAAAAGGTAGCAAGCTTCGGGATCCCCTTTGAAGATGAGCAGGGAAAATATCATCTGCTTCAGGTGCTTTGAAAGTCGCTGAGGCAGATATAGCCAATCTTATTCTATCTTCGTCGAACAGCCTTTTGGCGATTCTCCAATCCTCAGCACAGGGTCGTTTTATCCCATTCTCCGTGCGGATGATTCTAGATGTGCTCGGCTAGCAAGTTAAAGGATTCCATGCAACTGTTCGTGAAGGATTCGTCGGTCTTTTCAGGAGCCCTAATTCATCAGTGTGCGTTTTAGCCCACTCAGTGCGAGAAATTGCATATCCTTCGATTAATGAAAGTGAATTATATTTAAAAGTACACAATTCGAAACACAAACCAGTAAGTTTCCACTGTCAGTTATGCAGAAGGTGGCGTGCACAGAATTGTTTTCTTGGTAAGTGCGCCTTAATACTTATAATGAAAGCAGGGATATTAACGCCGACGCAAAGGCAACAATAAACAAAAGTTCCACGACATACTAGTAGGAATTTTATCTCAAATATCCTGCAAAGCTTCGGCTGAAAATCGCGGCAATATCGCAAGCGCGGGCAACACCCCATTATACTGACACAGTCAAGGGGGAGTGAATTTTCAAAGCAAAACAACAACTAGAGCATTGTTTTGTATACATGCATGTGCCCACAAACATCCCAGAAGAAAGCACGTAAAGCACGTAAAGCACGTATGTGTGTCTGTAAGTATTTATTTATTAGAACATGGCTTCTTTGCAAGCCTCAGTGGCTGCTGTACATATTTCTAGCAGCTCAATGTTGGTTAATGCTGCTGGCGGCGAGGTGGTTGGCCCTGTTAACACCAACACTAACAACGCCGACCAGTCCCTTGGCACACAAATTCGCATAGTGTAGATACCGAAGCGAGGCGAACTGTTTTTTTGTATGGAAAATCCTGCAATGCCAAAAGGCAATAGCTGCTAAAGCCAGAACATTTTACGAAAGTTCTATCAGTTGTTTGACATTGTTCCTGGCAAAAGGTTGTTCTGACGGACGAAAAGTGCGAATACTCCAGTACACCAAAGATATACACATACAAATTTCTCACTGCAAGTTTTAGTATACCCAAGAAATGTGAAAATTTTTTAAAGCTAAAGTTATCTAATCGTTTCAAGTGTAATGAAAATTTCTGCGAATTGCGAAAAGTGAGAAAATATGTCTGGCTAAGAAAAGCTGGTCTCACGGAGTGTCTGTTGGCAATTTATAAATTTGAAAAGATTTACAATTATCTATGTATATACATAAAAAAAAAAGTGAATTTAAAAGTGTTTAAAACCAAAAGTAAGCAGGGGGTTTAGCCAACAGTATGAAGGATTTTTGTTTAAACCCTTTGAAGTAAATATGTGTGGCAATTTTTTTAAAATATAATTCAAAAGCAACAAATTTATGTAGTGTGCTCTTGTTGTTGCATAATTTCACACAAAATACATATACGTTTATAGCAAAAAGTGTGAAAAGCGCTTTTGAATAAACCTACTTATCTAATAGTCCGGGTAATTTACATACATACATACTGCATAGATAACCAAATAAATTTTCCCAAAAAATGGCACAATTCGTTACGCACATACAACCAACGTTGCTGGAGGCTTCACAGGGCCATGTACCGCATCATCATGGCCATCAAGTTGGTATGCAACATTCATCACATTTGCCACATAGCGGTCATAATATGCCATCGCCGCCAACAGCGCATAACCATCATACGCATTTGCACCACCAACATCAGCAGCAGCAGCAGCAGCATCAGGAACAACCGCATCATCAACATCACAACCATCACCATAGTCCACCATCGCAAATGTCGTCGCCACCAAGTGGCGCACCATTACACCATCATCATATTGGCAAACATGGTGCCAAGCATGAGCACTTTGGACATCATGGCACCGTAAGTATTAAAAATCTATATGTATGTATGATGGTATATCTATGGATATATTGGAGTCTGCGTATATACGCAATGGCACGCAACAGAAAATTCTATACATATCCTTACATATGTATGTACATATCTCTAAAATAGGCACTTAACGGTGTCATCAATTGCTCACTTTATATGCGCACATAAATTCATAGTACATATGTATGTGCGTATTAGCTATTTTGGGGAATTAGGTTTGTTTAAGGAATGTTTGTTTTTATCATAAAGATTGCTTAGTTGATTAGTTAATCAACTCCTCATCACACTACAGAGCTTTAAATATATATATGTATATAATGGAGTAAGCGTAAAAATAGTAAGTATAAAGGATGTGCATAAATTAGTATGTATATACGAATATACTAATATTAGGTCGACTCTCTATCCATGCAATGAAAAATCGTATCCCTTTCCCCAAGCTATTCATAAAATTTGGCTAACTGTATGACTCCCAACAAAATAATGGTTTAAAAGTTTTCCAAAAATTCGTCTATTAACACCCAAAGTTTTCAGGAAAAATTGTTCTCTAAAAATTTTTCGATTTCAATGGGTTAATTTTTTAGGTAACGATCGATCGCAAATATTTTGGAAATAAAACTCTGTCTAGATATGTACAGAAATGCATTTGAACGCTGACGAAAATTATTGCTGAAATTTCATTAATTGAAACCTATCTACCCTACTAGGGATAATTAGTTAGTGCTTGGATACAACAGAACAAGAGATAACGCAAACTGAAATACCTTTTGTATATCTCAAAGAGAGACCCTACCACAGCTGTCCCAAAGATACCTTCGGCTTCCCCAATTCAACCTAAAAGCGCTACTGTTAGGCGAATTCTTTATAACAAAGGGTTCGACTATTGGAGCTTTAAAATGGGTCAACCTTAGTCTGGCCAAAGACGGATAGAATATGTTCTGAAGTTTCGTCGTCCGCAAGGCAGAGCAAGGTATTCCGACTCTGTGGAATCGCAGTTCGGTTTCGACCAGACGGGTATCCAGAAAGAAGCCTGATGCCATTTATATTTTCTAAGACAAGATCCTTTCTGTTGAAAGCTAGCTGAAGAGCCGTAGAGGACCAACTGAAACGGTATTTTAGGTTCCGAAAAAGGCAGTTAGCGATCCTTCTCGTGACAACTTGATGATAACTTCAATACAAATATAGGTTCACTTTCCGTGAAAACTTGGGTGGAAAGTTCCCGTATCAAGTTTTTCAGGCATTGTGGCTTTCGGCTCACAAGCCTGAAAAGATGATTTAATCAAAGTATAAGAAAGCTACTCCATAATCAAAAGTCTGGCAAGGATGAAAAATGGCAAAGTTCAAACCTCCTCAGGCGGTCCTTTATATAAAATGCATGGGAAATTTTAAAGCTCTGGCTGTACCATTAAATGTTAACCAATTTCAAAATGAAAATAATACGAGTCACCTTATTTTCGATGTGTTCTTCAGTTCTGATGATTAAAAAAATTGGACCACCCTAATGTTCATGTACACTAAACGTTTATTATAAACATACATACTTGCATGTACATATGTACACATATCCTGGTCGTTGCCCTGTGGGGAAAATCTCCAGTTCTGAACTGGTGCGCTTCTAGTACATTTGGACCAAGTACTGGTTCGCGACAAATCACTTTTGCATGCAAACAACTGGCGAATTTAACATGGCGATATCCTAGGAAGTGTCAATTGCCCCCGCTGCATTCCTTTTTCGATAGTTCTGAACTAGTCCTAAATTCTATAGTTCCGAGCCAGTTCTAAAATCGACAGACGAAAGAAAAAACTATCATGATTTTTCATTATTTTCGGTTCTTCCGTGTGTGCGATTTTAAATTATTTTCTAAGAAATGTGTTGTCAATTTGAAATTAAATTTTTTCGAATGATTGTAAGAAATGTACGTTTACATACCTTTGGCTGTAGCTGAGTTTGCAGAGGTGCTCGCTGTTATTGGTTAGATTTCAGACGGTCCCAAGATGTTAAAATGTTAACACAAATTTTTGTTTTGTATTACCACACTATGAAAAAGCATCTGCGAAGTGCAGAATGAAGGTGTATTTGAACGAAAAAGCCGCCAAACACATATCTATGTAAAGTATGCTGCATCCCTTTTTCGAAAGTTTCGAACCATTTCTAAATTCGTCACCTTCGATATAAATTTCTGAAATAAAATAGTTTTTTTAAAAGTACACCATTTCGCTGATTTTGAACTGGTGGAGATCTAGTTATTATCGGATTGGCGTTAAAGATCTAGTACGGAACTAGAAATTTGATTCACTAGTTTGGGGTTTCCCTGCAGGGTGGTTGCTTACTATGTACATACATATGTACACACTACTTATGAACAAAGGATGACGTAATATTTGACTGCTTTGGAGATGCTGTGCAGACATAATTTAAAGGTTTGGATTTCAAAGTTGTCGCCGCTTTGGGCCGTAACCCACATAACTACATGCACACATACATATCTAATGTGCACACACACATTAAGGAGTCTTGTTTTTGGATTTAAGGATACACGCCATTACGAAATGGCTTTCTATGTACTAGGGCGATCGCAAATGGTTTCACAAAGGAAGATTTCTGCATTTCATAAGGTGTGATGTGAGACATCGATAGATTCAAAACAGTGAGATACAAAAACTAAAAAAAAAATAAATCAAGGGATTTTTTTATGAAGGGAGAGGAGGACGCCAGATATTTATATGAATTTATGGGACGATCGGTCGGACCAACGTAAAAAACAAAAACGAAAAAAAAAACGAAATTGAAATATAATCATTGCGTCCGATGAAAAATGCATTCAATATGAGAATAAGCTACGCAAGCGATTATGGTCAGAGACCGATGACCCTCTGTTAACAACTTCAAAGCCTGAGTTGACGGCAAGGAGGGTTCAGTTAAGTTGAGTGTTTGGTGGGACTGAGCGGGAATTGTCATCTACTTTACACAACTTGACCGTTTGAACGAAGCGATCAAGAAAGGGCGACCAGAATTGGCGAACAGAGGGGCTCTGTTCCATTAAGACAATGCCAGGTCACACACATTTTCGATGATTCCGAACAAATTGGCGGAACTTGATTGAAAAAAGCTTTAATGCATCCACCGTTTAGCCCGAACCTTGCACCGTTTGACTTTCATTTGCTTCGGTCTCTGCAAAACTGTCTTGATTATAAAAAAAAAAAAAAAACTGGCCGACCAAAGAAACACTGAAAAGCACTGGGCCGATAAACCACAGAAATTCTACAGCGTTGAAATTATGAAGCTACCTGAAAACTGGCAAAAAGATTATAGATAATAATGGCCAATATGTACTTTGATTATAATTGATTTTGAACAAGGATGTTTTTTTTTCAAAATTTTACCCAAAAGTCAGCGGAAACTTTTCATACGACCCAATTTATTAGAAGTTGAAAATAACTACCCAGATTCAACACAAATATTTTGAATTTAAAATAATTTTAAAACCGTTCAATAAAGCAGAGAGTACTATCTGACTAGGAACCCGTGATAGACGCATTAATTATAAAAAAAATTCAACAAAAAAGTCTTTCATTCACATATCAACCTTTCAACCACTGTTGTCTGCGATCCACAAACCTCAAACTGCAAATAATGAAGAGCAGGCAGAATCATATGTATTAGCAAACTATGTAAATACAACAAACTATCTACAACAGAGAGCAATGTGCAAATAAATTTTCGCTTCTTCTCTCTGAGTTCTGATGATTTTTAAAAATAGATTAGCGTTGTTTTGAAAAATTCTGCTCGAAACAACCGAAATATTCAGCAAACAAGTGATCTCCAATAGAAATTGGCTCAAGTAAAAACTCTATCCACATGTTTCTTTGCGAAATTTTCAAATTGGATTTCATTTTCTTTTGCAGTACGAAAAATGTTTTACCACCAACTGCACGTCGAACAATATTAAATCGTGAAGAGCTATTAAATGTATTTAGAGCGCTATTAATTAACATTATTGATTAACAATTACCCAACGAATTGAATAGAAAGTCGAGAAAATGTTGTCACTGAAGAAACGCTTTCCATCGCTACAAAGTTTGGGTGTAAGTGAAGAGTCATCTGTGCAAAAAGAAAACAAAAAAGAAAATTATATATACATATATACATATATAAGAATTGATTACATGAAGGCAGAAAGCTGCTACATAGTTAATGGACTAACAATTATTGTGGTGTTTTACTACATAAAAAAGTAATTTTATTTTAATTGCTCAGTGGATTGTCGTCGACAACGAATTATTTGTGTTACTCGAGAAAATTTATGTAATATTCCATTTTACATATTTATGCTGTTTTGCTGGTTGTAAGAATACACAAAGGTACATAAGCTTAAATGTATATGTAAGTATGCATATACATATATAGACACGACATATTTGAATACCCTATAGGAAAAACTGCAGCGCGCTTTCATACCTCAGGAAGTTTGTGCAAAGATTTAATTGGTAGTGGGTCTTTTCTTTAACTAAAAAGGTGAATCTCTTCCACGCACTATTCTAACTTGAAAATTCTATATGGCATTAAAGCTAAATTAGTACTCTTATTTGACCCAGCTTCGAACTACTTGAATCTGTGCCGCGTGTCTTTATGTTGTTACGCATACCTCCGATCGGTAAAAAGTTTTTTCCTTTTTTATAAAAAAAAACAATTGGTGCTTCCCACAATTTACTAAGTGATTTGTCGAGCTCCTCGTCCAATTTCCTGTATGCGTCTTTATGTTGCCTCCAAACGGCAGATGGTTTTTTATGAGAAGTGATGTGTTAAATTACAGAAATATACTCGAAAATTGGCCATTGCCCGCTGTCTGGTGGAATCGACTTTGGTTCTTACCAGGTGGTTGGTTGGTTGGTAGAAGCTTGGCCTGGGCACTTGCGCGGGAACAATGTTGCCAGACTTACAGTTTTATATGTAAATTACAGCTTTTACACAAGCTTAAAGTTGCGGC